AAGTAATACAAATTATGATACCCTACCCAGTTCATAATTAATTAAAATCGACTATCCTTTGAGTTAGTCTCAATTTCTTAATTATGACTGCAATTTGAGAATATTATAATCTTTAATATCATGTAAATGATTAAACTTTCATATAGTTCTTATATTTATTAGATTTTACTAACCTAGCAACTACAAGATTAGTAAATTTCATAAATATAAAACTAATAATATTCTCATTATTTTAATTGAGTGATAAAATACGCACAACATACATACAATTTATGTACTCACAGAACTATCAAAATTAAATACATACACAATTAGCACCGAAAGGTTACATGTAATTCATTGCATATACAATATTATACGTTCTGCTGGATATGTATGTACTCTAATCATGCTGATATAAAATAATCAAAGTATATGCAGGTATTGTGCATATATATATATATTGACCGAATAATAAATTAATTGAAAAACAAACATCAATATCAATTCAATCAACATGTACTGTATCCATATTAAACCCACTGGTGATTTATTTTATTATTTGTTTAGAAAATAACCACTGACCAGGATATAAAAATTAATAAATAAATAAAGATAATGGTTACAGACAATTAACACAAACTTTGATAGTAACGAAACTATCCTTATCGGACTTTTAGAAACAGATGCAAATCGATACAATTATATAACAAGATATTCATAGAAAAATCTCTACAGATTCATCAAACATCAATTTGTAGGGAAAGTTGTGTTTTGCAGAAGACTACCCAGTACCCACAAATAATAATCCAATTAATTATCAAAACAAAAATATTATTATTATACTATCAATACATCAGTTCAGATTTCTAATTCATACGAACACGGAGATAGAGAATCAGACATCACAATAATAAAATCATCTCAAATATTTTATTTCATGAAATCAAAAATCCGTATAATTAACATATAACATATTTGAGTTCTAAGATGAATCGATTTCAAAACCCTGCTCTGATACCAATTGAAAGACTTTTATTTAACTTTATGCGGAAAACTTTAATCACAGAATCTTGAAATCAAATTCATCTTAAGAATATAATCACGTAATAGAGATTATCGACATACCGTTCGCCATGGGTTCCGATAGAGACGATGAACGATAGCAATCTACAAGCCGAGCCTAGCCAGGCCTCCTTCGAATCTCCTTGAGAACTTTATTCGTAGCACACCTTCTTCTCTCTATCTCTCTTATATCACAACTCACAAAGTATTCTGTAAGTGATGGAATTCTCAATTGCGTCTGATGGTTGAGGAGAAGAGCTGTGGATTTCTTTTATAGACGAGAGAAGAGGGCCACGATTGATTTGTAACGGCAGAAGACAAATCCCACCCATCATGGTCTTTTACTGCCTTCAACGTTACAAATCAATTACCATAAAATCACCTTAATACCATGATTTGAATTACCCACAATTTAATTAATTAAAATAAAGATTAGTGGACCAAAATTAAAAACGTTTTAAAACGTAAACTAACACGTCATGCCTCTTGTCGGCCAGCCATCCCTGCGATGGTGACGAGATGAAGGCGGAGGCGGCGGCTGGCGGATTGGAGGTGGAAACTGCCGGGTATCTTTTTTTCCCTTTTCCGTTCAGGTATTAATTTTTTCTGTAGATGCCAAAGCAGGAACACTAATTGTGCTTATACTGTTTGTTTTCTTAGGTCTGGTTCGCTAGTCACGATTAATTAAATAATTTTCCGATTCCTCAAAAATATTATATTATCATGTTTTTTTCACAGTCCTATTATACAATTCGGTTTCCTCATTAACAATGTAAATGCAGCAACGTGTAGGTTTCAAGAAAATGTAAACTTATGTACGATAAATACATATTTTTCAGAGAGAGGAAATATTTTTAAAAGCTAAATAATTTTCATGAAGAAAAAAGAAATCAATGTCAGTTAAAAGTTGAGTAATTTTCAACGAAGAAAATGCACACATTTAACAACTTGATTGATATACAAGCAAACTAACAGTAGTAATCGAACCATGAATATCCAAACCTGTTAGTTTTACGTTTTTTAACGTTTTATTCTGTGGTCCACTAATTTTTATTTTAATTAATTAAATTATGGGTAATTCAAATTATGGTATTAAGGTGATTTGTGGTATTTACTTGGTAACGTAATAAGACAATAAAAGACCATGATGGGTGGAATTTGTTTCTCTCGTCTATAAAAGCATCCACAACTCTTCTCCTGAACCATCAGACGCAATTGAGAATTCCATCACTTACAGAATACTAGCGAGTTGTGATATTAGAGAGATAGAGAGAAGAAGGCGTGTCTACGAATAAAGTTCTCAAGGAGATTCGAAGGAGGCCTGACTAGGCTCGACTTGTAGATTGCTATCGTTCATCGTCTCTATCGAAATCTATGGCGAACGGTATGTCAATAATCTCTATTATGTGCTTATGTTCTTAAGATGAATTTGATTTTAAGATTTTGTGATTAAGATATTCCGCATAAAATTTAAATAAAAGTCTTTCAAAACCACACCAACTCATTTGACTCTACACGAGTTCCGGAACCAATCCAATCCGCCACAAATTTATTTTTCTACTCAAATTTCGAGTAGACATACAAGCAAGTAGTTGTAACTCTTTTGATATATACAGCTAACAAATCAGTCTCTACTCTATGGGTATATACCCCCATTCTCTTGTTTCCCTTCACATCCCAAAACAACAGTGCCTGCAAATTATAAACGAGTGTTAATAAACATCCACCGTTTTATTCACCAAGCTAATCATATTAAAAAAGCATTCTTTGATTCCACTTGTTCGTGTACACATGATTCCGGACTCGAGAGTTTAGATATAGAAAATCAAGTCGATAAACATAACAACTTCACTTTTTTATTCCTCTGCAAAACCTTAGTTTCAGTCCCTAAATGGATCAATTCTCCAAAATGAATTGGGAAATACGCAGCTATTACAACAAAAATACTTTAAGAATCATATTAAATTTCATCATCAATATCGAATCCCTCTTGATATAGCAAAATTCTTGAGAATCATATTAAATTTCATCATCAATATCGAATCCCTCATGATATAGCAAAATTCGCCTCACAAATACCTTAGTATAGTTCTACTACATATTCATACACACAACAAGGACATAACCAACTTTACAGATTAAAACTTTGATGACGTTAAACTGAATGCACCCACATTTCTAAACTAATGATACTTGACAGCGTGAATTGATCCCCACAATAAAACTTTTACTCATAGTTATGGAGGAACAGAGAAGTTACAATTAAACAAGCAGTTCAAAATCACTTATTTCACTGCATAAAAAAATAAAAGCTAAATCAGACAAACTCAACTACAAAAGTGAGTGATCAACAATTGCGTAAGTGCGATCCGTGAAAGCTGCCCACGCCGATTCAGAATCTTCATATTCATAAAAAAAAACATAAACAGATAAGAACAAAACTCAGTCATGGTTCGTCCCTCTCTTTTTATTCAAAGGGTAATGATATACGCAGGCCAAATTAAACATTCATGCACTTTTTTACCATGATTTTTTACCTTTTTACCATAACTATTTACCTTTTGTACTATTCCTACCCAATTAAAAATAAATAAAAAAATAAATAAAAAATTAAATTGTTGTGCTCGTGCAAAAACATGCGAGCATTTCAACAGTGCTCATCTGATTTCACACGAGGACTGTTGAAATGCTCGCATGTTTTTGCACGAGCATCTTATAATTCAAAAAATAAATTTATAAAAAAAAAAATTAAAAATGCTCGTGTAAAAACACGCGAGCGGTTGAAAAGCGTTCGTGTGAAATCACACGAGCCCTTTGCAACCGCTCGTGTGTTTTTACACAAGCAATTAAAAAAAAATTAACAAGGCCTGCTCGTGTGGATTTACACGAGAGGATCGTAAAAACGTAAAAATTACCTCCGATCTGTTGACGATTTGCACGGGCTTTGCGAAAGAAAATCGAAAGGTTGAGAGAGTTTTTGAGTTTTTTTACTTTTTGTTTTGTGAAGAATGGTAAAAAATGTGCCTGAATGTTTAATTTTGGCCTGCACAAATCATTTCAGTTATTCAAAACTCACAAATATGCTTTTTTTTATATATATATATATATATATATATATATATATATATATATATAATCATTCAATATATACCAAGAAACAAACAACACAACCACCTAAAACATCTAGTGCTTGAATGTATACCATATGCTTCATCTAAATAAATGTTTTCAATAAATTTTAAAAGAACTACAAGAAAGATAAGAACAAAATAACTATAAAAGATCAAATACACAACGTATGAATTTGTCTCCTCCCGTGTAGCGAACTTATATAAACACTCTCCTCAAATCTCACTCTACTCCAACTTTAATAGATAATAGTGATTCTCCTCAAATTAGATAATAGTGATTGATTTAATCATATAGTTGTTCGCAACTGTATAGACCATTCCATAAAAATCGTAGTTACATTCTAAATTTTAATTAATTAAACGAAATGTTCTAAAGAATTTTTGTAAATCTCTCTAACTTGGTAACAACTCCCTACAATTTCATATTTATAGGTGGTAGGTATACTTTCGGCTTTTTTTTTTTAATAACTCAACAAGGAACAAATATTTTTAAACTTTTAAGTACTAAAAATATCAAAAACCAATTATAATATTGTTATTATAATGCAATAATGAAAAAAGAAAAAAAGATATTATTAACTCAAAAAAATAATACTACGATATTTTTTTTCATCAGTATATCAATATTATCGACGTAATTTTTATCAATAAAAAATGTATTCAGATCATAAACATATTATAATTGTTTAGACTAAATAAAAATAAAAATTTCCAATATGATTTGTTTTTTTTCTTTTTCTTTTAGTACGAATAATTTATATATCCATCCATAAAAAAACTACAGGGGTATAATAGACATTATACAATCTGCAGTACCAAAGCCCAAAACAAAACCCTAGCACCCCTCACAATTCTTCATCACTTCATATAGGGTTTGCATCTCATTTCCCCAAGACCCTCCGCCGCTGCGTCTCCGCCGTCAACCACCGCCAACTACCGCTCCGCCATGGTTAGTCTCTTTCTTCGACTCAAAACTTATGCATTTGCATTTTTATATATGTATGTATATGTATATATATATATATATATATATATATATATATATATATATATATATATATATATATATGTATATTCACTCAATATAATTGTAAATTAGGCGTCAGAGAAGAAATTGTCGAACCCGATGAGGGAGATCAAGGTTCAGAAGCTGGTTCTCAACATCTCCGTCGGTGAAAGCGGCGATCGTCTCACCAGAGCTGCTAAGGTAAATTATTTTAAAACATTTTTTCATAATTTTTTTTTAATTTAATTTAATTTTCGTCTTAAAATTGTTACGATTTTTTCCAGGTGTTGGAGCAACTGAGTGGGCAAACCCCTGTTTTCTCCAAGGGTAAATTCCTTCTTATTTCTGACGTTTTCCGAACTATTTTTGTAATTATTATTAATATTGTATTTTTTGGTGAAAGAATGAATTTTTGGCCTGTAGAATTACTTCAGTATTGATTGTGGATTAATTTATTGTTTTCTGTGTGTTGTCGTAAACATTTGGTTTTTTCAGTTAAAGGATGTGCTTACTGCTAAACTTGATTTTATGAATTTGAACTGTAAATGCTGCATTAAGTATCGATTCTCTCACAAATATGGCCCGTATAATTATTTGAACTTGAAGTTGAAGGAGAAAGAATGTGTATATACAAAGATACAATTATACACTGTTGAAATCAGACTCGACTTTTTCAAAAAAAATATTTCATAGGTTTAATTTTTGCGTTTACATATGTACCTTAAGTTTGCTTTATTTTGAAATTTCCGTAACCTAGCTTTACATACAGCAAGTTCTTTTTTGAAGGAGAGATAGCCGAGTGTAATGTTTTGAACACTGTTTGAACCTTGCTCTGTCATATTTATACGAATAATAAATAGTTGGAAGTATATTATATTAAATTGAATCTATATCAAGTACTTATTTGTCCTCTTACTTATGGTTGACAGCACGATACACTGTTCGATCATTCGGTATCAGGCGTAACGAAAAGATTGCATGCTACGTCACAGTCAGAGGTGACAAGGCAATGCAGCTTCTCGAAAGCGGCTTGAAGGTGAAGGAATACGAATTGCTGAGGCGCAATTTCAGCGATACTGGATGTTTTGGTTTCGGTATCCAGGAGCATATTGATCTCGGAATCAAGTAAGCAAATTTTATTACTAGCCTTTTTTATCGATTTATTATATTATTTGATGATGCACACACTATCGATCACTTTTCAATTATTTGGTCAAAGAATAAACCTCTTGATATTTCATTTGGTCAATTATTTATGGCATTTCGTAGTAGGTCCAGCAGTAACGAGTCACCCGTATGATTTATTTATTTTATTTCATTTTATTTTATTTTATTCAAGAACACACACCCGATATGATTGGTTCTCAAATGGATATATTTTCGTTTATATTTTCAGGTACGACCCTTCTACGGGTATCTATGGTATGGATTTCTATGTTGTCTTGGAGCGACCTGGTTATCGCGTGGGCCGCCGCCGTAGGTGCAAGTCTAGAGTTGGAATCCAACACCGTGTCACTAAGGAAGACTCGATGAAGTGGTTTCAGGTGAAATACGAAGGTGTTATTCTCAACAAGGCAACCAACATCGGAACTTAATTTCCTTATTATTTATATATATTTTTTCCAACGGTCCGAATTTTTCCGCTCGAAGTTTTGTAGAATTCTATTGGTTGTTCTTGAGCGACAATTTTATTTGCGTGCTGTGACGATCTTTGAATTTTTGGCAGGACTAATATTTTGTTGTTCTTTTTATTCGATTAAAGTAGCTATTGAATTCTACTGTGGTGTTCGTCATGATAATGGTGATTGATTTTATTAGTCGAACGTTTATAATTATTCGTAGAAGGTCAATTTAATTAAAAATTTTATCAACATGGTGTGTGCATCTTAATTGAATTTTTTATCAACATTGATTTTGTCATATAAACTAAATTAAAGCTTCCAAGTCTAAATTATTTTAATCATCCTAGAAAATTTTCAGATTGAATGTGAATGGTAAATTTGTAAATTAAGGTTCTGGTATATAGAAGAACATTTTTTTGTTATTTAATCACTTAAATTTCAAAATAAATTGTAAATGGCAGCGACTATTTGCAAGACGAAATTTACTTAGTGCAAGACCAATTTAATTTTTTTTATTAAATTCAGTATAAAAAGACTATAATAACCTTAATAAAATACAAACAAAAAAAAATTATTTTATGTATTTTCTTTTGCAAGACCAATTTAAAAAAAAATTAATAAAACAAAAAGAAAAAAGAAATTGAATTGACAAAATCAAAAAGGGAAGGTTGAAAAAAATAAAAAAAATCAATTGCAGCAAAAAACCGCCCGTCGCCCGCCGCCCCGTCGTCGTCGCCGCCGTTGAAGTCCACCGCCGTCGCCCGTCGCCGTTGAACTCCGTTGTTGCCCCAACCCCGCCGCAACAATCTCACGAAAAACAAGTAAAAATTACTTTTTGAATTAACTTTTTTTTTGAGAAATAAATGTGATAAACATGATTTTATTGTTAGAATAATGAATTCAAGTCGTTTTAGAACATAGTTGATGATTCTAGGGTTCGATTGTAGCACTATTGTTGAAGGAGTTGCGATTTTACAAAAATCGACCTGTACTTGTCGTTTTTTTGGAAAATTTTCGACACACAATTGTAACAGTGATAATTCGACACACTAGCGTCGAAATATCCGCTTAATATCGACACCAGAATGTCGATAATTTCAATATAATTCGACAGTTAATGAGTGTCGAATTATTTTGATATTTTCGACACTGCAGTGTCGATATAAAGCTGATATTTCGACCTGTACATGTCGATTTTTTTGTACGTGAAATGAGGTGCGAAAAACGAGAAAAACGATCACAAAGTACAATATTTCTTACCTCTTTGTGTTCTTCGACCTTAGAATCCTCCATATTTATGTCTTGTGTATCCATAATGTCCTTCTTTTCAAGTTTTAGTAAGATTTGAGGGTTTTATGTGATAAGGGTTTTGGAGAATATGGAAGATTTTTTTGTGGAAAAAAATGTGTAAAATGAGGGTGAAGAAGAAGATGTTGGTGTTTTGTTGGGTGAGTGAGTTCCCTCTCTTTTTTCTTTTTTTTTTATTCTTTTTTTTTGTATTTTTTTTTTGGTCTTGCAATAGCAATTAACTTAATTTAAATTAATAATATCTAAATTATTATTGGGGTTATATTTGTAATTTCCAGTCTTGATCTTAGTAAATTTATTTATATTTTGGTCTTGCATGAAGTAAGGTCTTGCACTTAGTAATTTTCGTCTTGCAAATATCTGCAGCCATTGTAAATATTACAGTTTCTATATATGTCATTACAAGGGTTATAGAATTCGGACAATTAACAAAAAAAGAAGAAAAAGAAAAAAGCTCTCAAATATAACCTTCCACGTGTCTATATATATAATTTGTTCGACCTTTAGTTCTTTCTGTTGAGGCTCTAAATCGATACACCACCATCTTCATCGAACATGTGATCATCCAATGACTTGTAATCTTCCACGCGACAACCTTAATTTGTTATAAATTTAGAAAACTCATCGTGTAATTGTAATAAAACCCTTCTTGCCTACCTTCGGATGTCAGGAAAAAAAAAATTCAAATTTTACTAGAAAAAGCTTAAGAGCAGTACACCGTGAGATGAAGAAAACGCACACCGTGAGATGAATAAAAACTGTTCGATCTTTAGTTCTTTCCGTTGAGGCTCTAAATTGATACCTCACCATCTTCACCGTGTGATTATGCAACTAAATCGATACTCCAACGGCCTTGATTGTACGTGTGACTATCCAACAACGACTGGCATTTCTCCATGCGACAACCATCATTTGTTATAAATTCACCAAATTCCCTTTGTAATTGTAATAAAACCCTTCTTGCATTTGTCGTCGATAGTAAGATAAAAGCATCAATTCTTATTGTAGCAAGCTTAATAGCAAGTTCAACTTTGTACCATGTGCGTCTGATCATGTATATCTTATTTAGCACGTTATAATTTTCAAATCTTCGCAAGTGTATTACTTTTTTCGTAAAATTAACTCCACATTACCCGAATTTATAGAATTTACACTGTTTTTTTTTTAAACCCTCAAATATAACCCTCCACGTGTCAATCTGTATAACACACTGTGAGCTGAAGAAAAAACTGTTCGATCTTTAATTATTTCCGCTGAGCTATAAATTGATACCTCACCATTCCAAAGACTTGTAGTTTTTCTATTGGCAAACATCATTTGTTATAAATTACAAAATCCGCCATGTAACTGTAATAAAACTCTTCTTGTCATTGTTGTCATTTAAAACCCTTCTTGTCATTGTTGTCGAATGACAGATAAAAGCATCGATTTATTATGGCAAAACTTATGAGCGAGTACAACTGAATATCGTAACATGTTGCATCTAGTCATACGTATCCTATTTGTCTCGTCGTTAATTTCAAATCCTCGCAAATGTATGAACTTTTTTTGCCATCACCTAGATTATAGAATTCATACAATAAAAAATGCTCTCGATCTAACACTCCTCATGTCAATTGTAAATCACACGCCGTGAGACGAAGACAAACTCTCAAGTCTTTAATTTTTTTAGTAGACGCTCTAAATTGACACCGCACCATCTTCTTTGTTTATGTGATTATCCAATAACTGTCGACAAACATCATTTGTGATAAATTTACCAAATTTGCCCAATAATTATAATAAAACACTTCTTGTCTTTGCTGTCTGAGCGTGAGGTAAAAACATCAATTCTTATTATGGCAAAGCTCAAGAACGAGCACAACTGAATATCGTAACTTGTGCACATGGTCATAGATATAATGACTCGCCAAATATGTTATATATATCCTATTTGGCTATATATATAACATATTTGGCACGTCATTAATTTGAAATCCTTGCAATTTTATTACCTTTTTCGCAAAATTAATCCAATTACTTGGATTATCGATTCAATATAATTTAAAAAGAAATCGTCAAATCTAGCCCTCCACGTGTCAATCATAGGATACTAGGATTATAAATTCACTAAATTCGGCGAGTAATAATAAAACCCTTCTTGCCTTTGCCCTAGATATTCAAACCCTAGTTTTTTTTTCTTTATATCTCTATAAAATGAAAAAAAGAAAAACATTTTTATAAATAAACAAAGAGAAAAAGAAAAAAAAAACAGTCAAAAAAAAAAAAAATCAAATTAGGGCTTAACTCAGAAAAATTGAAAAATCCCCTTTCTCTGTTTCTGCCACCAATTCTCTCTCCAAATCAGAAAATCAGTAGAAAAAAAAAATCAAATTAGGGCTTCACTCTGAAAAATTGAAAATCCTCTCTCCTTGTTTGTGCCACCAATTCTCTCTCCAAATCAGAATTCTTCTCACACTCGGTCTCCACTGCTACAATGGCGTTGCCACCGTCATTTCACTTTCAGGTAAAATTTTGTTTGAAGCACATATAATCAGTTTATATAGACATGCACGTGCAGTTTGTGTGTGTATGCGTGATTTTTTTATGTTTTCTGTGTGCTCTTTGTTGATTTTTTTGTTATGTGATCGTCCTTGTTTTATGAGAAATGTGCGTTGTTTTGTGGTTTTTCGTTGCTGTGAATTTGATGCGGCAGATGATTAATTTTTTTTTAATTTTTTTTTTGTTTGGTTGGTGTGCATTTGTTTTTGCAGATCTAAATGGAACATGAAAAATAAAGGTGATTGTGTAGGGGTGATTGGGTTGAGGAATTGCTGATGGATAACAGCACTAAGAAGTCGAGTGGCATTGAAATTCCGAAGAGGAATCGATCTTTGGATCTTAACAGCATATACAAATCTAGGGTTTCCGGGGTGGGAGAGGATAAGAAGAAAGTTTCCGAGGAAAAAGATCAGGAAAATGTTAAGAAAAAGAGGAGGAGGAGTACAAAGGACGTTTCGTCGAGTGGTTTCGAGCCTGATGCTAAGAAAATGAAGAAGGAGGATGTAGGTGATGTGAAGTCCGAGCAAGGTTTTAGCGAAAAAGCGAGTGGTGGGAGTAAAGGGTTGCATGGAACGTCGGTTCCTCTGGGCGAAAGTGGAAGTGCATTTAATTTCCCAAAGCGCCCTCGTGATTTGATTGGTCGAAAAAAGTTGGTAGCTGATCACGTTTCGAAGCCGTTTGCTCATCTAAGCTCCATTGATCGTGCCGCGATATTGTTTAATGAAAGATTTAATAAATCTGCACGTGGCAAATTAGTTAAGTCAGTTACCCCTACGTCCGGTAATGATGGGGCTTCAAAGTCGAATTACGCGGGAAAAATTGGTGGTTCAAATTCAAAAGTAAATGAGAAAGTGGAGCAAAAATCTAAGGGTGTTTTGCATTCAACATCAAAGCAAAAATCGGAAATAAAACGTACCGGTTTTTCTGATCAGGCTTCTAAGTCGTTGGGACTTGTGAAATCTGTCAATCGAGCGGGAGCATTTAATGGCGGGCTTATTAAACCTAAGGACAATGCTGGTATCAAAGACCAATTGGATAAGGTAGTTGCCATTTCCGAGGGTAATAATGGTAATTCATCTTCAATAGGAAAGCAAAAGGCGGACCTTCATTTAGCTCGTGTTTCTGATAGGATGTCTTCTTTGGCACATCCTAGCACTGTTGATCGTGCTGGAGCATTTATTAGCAAAGTTATAAAATCAAAGGGCAAGGCTGGCACCAGTGACCATTCGGTTAAGTTAATTACCGCTTCGACGGGTAATGATGGCGCGTCTAATCCAAAATTCGCGGGAAAAAATGTTTCTGGTTCAAATTCAAAAGTGAACCAGAAGGAAGATCTAAAACCCAATGGAGGTTCAAATTCGAAAAGAAAGCAGAAGGAACCAAAATCCACCAGTGGTTCTGATCGGATTTCTGCGGCGTTGGTACATCCTAATGGAGAAGTTATTAAACCTAAGGAGGAGGCCGGTACCATTTCAGCGGGTAATGATGATGCACCTAATCCAAAATTAGCTGGAAAAGTTTCTGGTTCGAATTCAAAAGTGAACCAGAAGGCGGATCCAAAACCCAAGGGAGGTTCGAATTCGAAAAGAAAGCAAAAGGAACCAAAATCCACGAGTGGTTCTGATCGAATTTCTGAGGCGGTACAGCATCCTAATGGAGAAGTTATTAAATCAAAGGACAAGGCTGGTACGAGGGACCAATCAGCTAATATGGTTACCATTCCCGAGGGTAATGGTGATGCTCCTAATTCACAATCCATGGAAAAAGTTGATGGTTCGAAGTTGAAAGTGAAGCAGAAGGCACGTGGTTCAAATTCCAAAAGGAAGGTGAAGGCGGAACCGAAATTAACCAGTGGTTCTGATCCGATTTCTGAGGCGTTGGAACATCTTAAATCTGTTGACCGGGCAGGAGCATCTAATGGCAAATTTATTAAACCTAAGGAAGAGGCTGGTACCATGGACCAACCAGTTAATTTGGTTACAGCTTCTGCGGGTGATGGTGATGCTCCTAATTCAAAATCCGCAGGAAAAAATGGTGGTTTAAAGTCGAAAGTGAACCAAAAGACAGATGCAAAACCCAAAGGTGGTTCCAGTTCAAAAGGAAAGCAGAAGATAGGTTCTGATCGTATTTCTGACGCTTTGGGACTTCCTAATTCCGAATTTATCAAACCGAAGGACAAGGCTGATACCAGTGACCAATTGGTAAAGTTAGCTGGTGCTTCAATTTCAAAGTCTCTGGAGAAAGTCGGTTGTTCAAGTTCAAAAGTGAAACCGAATGTAGATCCAAAATCCACCAGTAAATCCAGTAGCGGAAATGGAAAACGAAAGCGGAAGGCAGGGGCTGATGAAGTTAAAGAAAATGTAGATAGTGGACAAACATCTTGTAAGAAGCGGCGGATCAAAAGTAGGAAGGACTTGGTAATTGGTGAAGATGGAGGCGAAACCTCGAAGAAGAAGCCGGAACCTTTAGCGGGCAGTACAGTCTCAAATAGTATCTTTATTGATTTTGATGAAGATGACGATGATGAGGAAAACCTTGAGCAGAATGCAGCAAGGATGCTGTCTTCTCGATTTGATCCAAGCTGTACGGGTTTCTCGTCAAAGAGAAAACCTCCTGCATCTCAAACGGTCGATGGGTTCTCCTTCCCAGTTTCATCTAACCGGGACTTGCTTAGCAAGCAGGCCAACTCATCCAGTGCAAGAAAAGAAGATAAAGGCAAGGGCACACCAAGAAAACGGCGCCACTTTTATGATGTTCTTACAGGAGATTTGGACCCACACTGGTTCTTCAATCGGAGGATTAAAGTCTTTTGGCCATTGGATGAGTGTTGGTATTATGGCCTTGTGGATGATTATAACCCAGATGATAAGAAGCACCATATAAAGTATGATGACCGAGATGAGGAATGGATTGATCTTAAACAAGAGAAATTCAAACTCTTACTTCTCCCCACTGAGGCGCCTGGCAAAGTGAAATCTAAAAAGGTTTCACCCAAGGTCAATGATGTACGTAAAGGACAAACAGTACCGTCAGAAGATGATGCCAGCCGTAGAGAGAGCGATCTCGACTCAGAGCCTATTGCATTATGGCTGGCTCGTTCATCTCAACATGGCAAATCTTTGCCAAAATCTTCGAAACCACAGAGGGCTTTGCATATTGAGAGCCCCACTGTGTCTGCATTACCATCTGAGAAAAATGATGATCTAAATAGCAACTTCGCGTACTCGAGAAGAACTAAACTTAACCCACTTCGTGAACCTATATCGCCTGATGATTTAGCTCTTCATGCGATGAATGAAAAGTCTCTGCTCGGAAGTACTATTGGCAGTACTGCAGTTTATGCCAGGAAGAAAAACTCTAAGAAAGGCGAGGTGACTTTTATCTTGCCAACTATAAAAGAGCGTTACTTTGGTGGATTTGTGGATTATGACAAGCAATTATGGTCAACTGACCGTAATGGGCTGTTGAGATTAAATGTCATCTTGGTGGAGTCTAAAGAATTCAGATTCCGGATCTGCCTACCTGTATTACGTGTCAGTGGGTTTGCACATGGAAATGGGGATTGTGGGTTGTTTCGTAATATGTTGATGCCTGAACATGGGGTGATGTCAGTTACCTCACCTGCTGTTATCATGGAGATGCTTTTCATTGATAGTTATCTTGGATTGAAATTTCTCTTGTTCGAAGGATGCATGGAGCAAGCTTTGGCCTATCTTGTCCTCGTTATGACTATGTTCAGTCAATCCGATGAACATGTGGCTAGTGAGACACAATCACCTGTGACATCAGTAAGGCTCAGACTTTCGAGCGTTCATGATGCAAGAAAGCATCGCATCGTTGGACTTCATAGCTTCGCCAGATTGCAGAGTTCGAAGTGGGCCAGGCTGGACTTTGAACTTCTGCGACGTTGTGCTCTCGTTAAACAGTTACAGATCTCAGAATGCACTTACGATAACATTAAAGAGCTTGAATATAGGAGTTTAAAGCAACGCAAACCTCATGTCGATTTAGAGCTCCCGTCATATATGGTATTCCTTTTCTTAGTTAATGTGTTGAAAACTATTTGCTGCATGTGCCCTTCTTGCTATTCTGATTCTGATATTCCTTTTTTACACAAACCGTTTCTTCTTGTTTCGCTAGTATTCCCTTGTTTACAATTACTGCTTCTCTCCTCTTCGGGATGTCCGTAAAAATATTTTGTTTCCTAAAAGTTTTATTTCACATGCTTTTTCTTGGTTAATGATGTGGCTCCCTCTACCTCAAGTTGCAACATGTGGTTTGAGTGTAAAAATGTGAAAAATCCTCTTTTATCAACTTATGTCAAAAAGAGCGTGCCAATTCAAACACGATCCTTGTGTGGGAGGTGTATTTTTTTGGGCATTCTCTAAAAGGTTGGGAAAACTTGAATCCTTACAGATAATCCATAATTCTCTTTCCTCATTTTCTTTCCATAATTTTGTGCTAGACTAGTACTGCCGCGGGTGTAATTTGGCAATTCTATAACATAGTTCTGTTTTTAATGTCGTTAGTCTCTATCTGCATCATGATCAGGGTTTTAATAATAAATTCGTGCCGCACATCTTGCCGACGGGTGTTTCCGAAGAAGCTTGTAATACAAGGATCAGCCAGTCTGCTAGCTTTGCTGGAAAGCCTGGAAAATTTCCTAAATTTGCTCTTTCCTCTTCCGATGCACCAACTTTCTTTCTTATTCGGCATCTGCATTTACTCATTGGAAGTAGCTCTGAAATGGGCAACCTTAATCATCGTGGTACGGTGAGCTCACATGAAAGTTCTGATGCAGAATGCACTCAATCTGAGACCAGCTTGGTTTCCATCAGTAAACGTAGAATTCGAACAAAGGAGATACAAGTTCCTGCTTTCAAGGGCGTGGAAAGTTCCAATCGTGGTTTCAGTAATGGCCCGAAAAGGCCACGCACTCAGGTCCAATACACATTGCCTTTTGCAGATTTCAATACAAAACAAAAAAGGCATAGCCAGAGAGATCCACCATGTAAACGAATCAGGAGAGCTAGCCTGAAGAGGATATCTGATGGTTCTTCTAGAAGCAACGAGAAAAACTTCGAGTTGCTATCTTGCGGTGCGAATGTTTTGGTCACGCACGAGGACAAAGGATGGAGAGAATGTGGGGCAGTTATTATCCTAGAAGTTGCTGATCATAACGAATGGAGGCTTGCTATCAAACTCTCTGGCGTGACAAAATATTCGTACAAAGTCAAAAATATTTTGCAGCCCGGGTCAACTAACCGATACTCGCATGCTATGCTGTGGAAAGGTGGAAAGGATTGGGTGCTGGAGTTTCCCGATAGGAGCCAATGGAATCTTTTCAAGGAGATGCATGAGGAATGTTACAACCGTAATATTCGTGCTGCTTCTGTTAAGAGCATCCCTATTCCTGGAGTTTGGAGGATTGAGGAATGTGACGATTACTATAAAATTAAGGCCCCTTTTATTCGAAATCCTATGAAGTATTATCGACAGGATCAAACGGATGTTGAAATGGCTATGGATCCCTCTCATATTTTATATGACATCGATAGTGACGATGAGCAATGGTTGACTGCGAACAAAAAAAAATTTAGGAAAAAAATTATTGACAAGAGAAGGACAATAGAGGACTTTTTTGAGAAGACGATGGACATGTTCGAAAAATTTTCGTTTGTTCAGCACCGTGATAACTTTACAGATGATGAAGTCCAAGAGCTTGTGACTGGAATGGGGTCAGTGGAAGCTGCTAAAGTTATATATGAACATTGGCGAGAGAAGAGGGGGAGAAAGGGCATGCCATTAATCAGACATTTGCAGGTATGAATAGCTTGTCTTCTTTGATTTGTGTTTCCGTGTATTTATTTTTGCGAAACATTATTTAATCTGACTGATTATGCATATTTATATGACCCCCTGTTGGAAATGAACCAGACAACAGATCCAAGTCATAGTTTCTTTACTGTGTACGCTTTGGCTTATGGTCGAGTTTGTATATGGCTCCTGAATAGTATTTTCTATCTTTTTCGTCAATTGTATTTTTTTTCTCCTGATTGCATGAGTAGATATGAATCTCCGACCATAGAAAGCTTCAACACGCAAAATATTTATTCAATCTTGTGTTTAATTGCGATTTGTATCTCTATTTTCTATTCAGCCTCCTCTTTGGGAAAGGTATCAACAGCAGCTTAAGGAGTGGGAGCACGATGTTAATCGGAGCAATCCGACCCTTTCCATTGGTGTTCAGAAGAAGGCACCAGCTGCACCAGAAAAACCAGCCATGTTTGCTTTCTGCCTAAAGCCGCGCGGCTTGGAGATTCGTAACAAGTTCTTCAAACATAGATCTCACAAGAAATTCTCCATTTCTGCACACCTCCACTCCACATCCAGGGATCACAACACTCTTATCGGTTCGTCTCGTCTCGAAATTCTTCTCTCATTACATTTCGTCTTCGTTGTCTGTCATAAATATATTCATAAATACATACATACATATATGTATATTTGTTTTTTTCAGGGAGAAGATCAAGTCGTCATACTTTTGGCGACGATGCAAACACCGTGCGAGATGCGCGCGTCTCTTCTAACACTCGCAGCTCAAAGGCGTACAAGAACAAACGAAAGACCATCGCTTCATCGTCTCCCTCTTTCAACAACCAGAGCACACAAAACGGAGTTCGCCCGGAGAATCTTGGTGGGGCCCACACGCAGCAGGCACAAACTGGGCCGATGGATGGTCCAACTCTTCACGAGTTTCAAGTGCGAGAAACATTAGCTGCGGCAGCTCGTGCGAAGAAGAGGGCGAAGCTCAAGAAGGAGAGGGCTTATCAACTCTCCAAAAAGGCCGATTATTTCTCCCAAAAAGCTGCTGGTGCTCTATTGATTGCGGAGGCTGTTAGGGATTCTCATAACTCAAACGAAGGTACTTAGATAAAATCATCGGCTTGAAAGCTGCGGTTACTAGTCCCCGTATATATATAACGTTATTATCAGAACCACATTTTCGTTAATAAGACAGGTTTTTTTTTTTTTTTTTGGGGGTACATGATATTCTAGATTTTCTGGTGCTGCAGTATCTTGTTTTCACAAATGCAACTTTTATATAGAAACTTTTCATTTCGGCCTATTGACCTTAGGTTTAGTGCTTGATATATATACTGGAGCAGAGCAATTAGCGAAAATAATAGGGTGATTTTCTTCGAGTCATGGTTTATGGATTATCCGATGTTTTGAACTCGAAACAGCGAACTTGTTGTATCAAGCAAAGAACTACATTTGATATATGTATGTTATTATAGAGGAATTTTGTTGGTGTATTTACTTGTTTTGATGTTAAAGTTGCATGTATACTTGATTTAAGCTCCCATCAGTTTTTATTTTCTTCCGAATTTATTTGAAAATCAAAATTAAAAAACCTGTTCAAAACTGATTTATTTATTGTAATATTGTTATGATTAATATTTTTGGGGAACTTTTTTTTGTATTATTTTATTTAAATGTTTAACTTTAATATTTATGTAAATTTGTAATTTAAATATACATTTGAATAATTTAAAAAAAAATATTGTTTTTTTTTCCCGAACATTTTGTAATATCCGAATAAAATTTGAATAAATTTATATGATTTGTTAGTACATTGCAATAAAAAATGCAATGTTTTTGTATTTTTAATTCCTTGCATTTATAGAACAATTTATATGTTTTGTTAGTACATTACAATTAAAAATACAATATTTTTATTTTATTTTAAATCAATAATTATGTATATTCTAATAATTATTACATTACAAATTCGGATTATGAATATTGTTTTATTTTGAAATATAAAAAGATTTGGAAAAAAATATTTAATATAAGTAATTTCATAACTTCAAAAAAAAAAGAGGGTAAATTACAAACACCCCCCTGAGGTATGGTTAATTTGCAAAAAAACCCCTATTGTTTGGATAATTAGATCTACCCCATCAATATGATTTTTTCTTACACCTCCATCCTTATGGTGTCAAATTCAACAATCATCTAGATTTCGTGGAATGTACTCTAGTTTGTACTCGTTTTGATTAACATACAGTTTCCGATGTACCACAATCTGATACATACAAACCAAAAAACACATATTATGATCATCTTGTTTCAAAATGTAGAGTTCGAATGGGATAAAACGGTTACAAAAGTGATAATATTCCATATAATCTCGAAAATTCCACTAAATTTGAGGAGTTGAGCCTTGAGGGGTGGTTGTAATTATCCAAACAAGATGGGGGTTTACGTAATTTGACCATACCTCAGGGGTGGTTTGGTTGTAATTTACCCAAAAAATAAAAGAATTGGTTTGAATAATTAAATAATTAATCTATATAATATATAAAGACAAGGTAAACAATTGATGTTTTCAAATCTCCAATTTTGACCCCACATTTATTTCATTTATTTCATTTTTTGACTTCTTCCCTTAATTAATCCTTATTACATTGTATTCTTTATTTGTTTACCTTATTTCAAAACATGTATGTATAAAATAAAATTATTTACATTTATGATTTACATGGAAATTAATATGATAACAATATAATTATTTATTTTAATATAATTTATTACAATATTGTTATTTCTAATATTTTACATTTACAAAATATAAATATTAGTTTATGTTAAATATCGGATATTTTTCCTAATATTTTATAATATGTTCTTTTGAATTTCAAAATTTACATTTTAATTTATTTTATATTTAAATACACGTGTTTAAATACTTCCACCAAATCTGCATTGTTCATTTTTTAAAATTTCTGATTTCATGTTTTTTTTATGATTTTATTTCAATAATTTTGGAATATATTTATTTGTTTATTTTCCTTATTTTGAAAAGAAAACTCGATATATATATGAATTGTGCGAGAAAAAAATACTCATTTTCTTCATTCCTTAAAAGAACGTCGTCGAAGTGATAAATGTAAATAATAATATGTGCAATTTCACTATTTAAAATCTTATATATTACATTTTTTAATTTGTGTAAAGTTGCATCACCAAGGTACACAATTGAGGTTTTCACATCTCCAATTTTGGCCCCACATTTCTTTCTTTATTTTCAATTCAGTTTACTTACCTAATATTAAACCTATTCCACAAATTTGACAATTTGAATAGAAATCCATTTCACACATTCTATTGTATCATTCTATTGTAAAATGGGTCGTTTTGACTTATAAATATTCTAAATTGCATCATTCTATTGTAAAATGGGTCGCACACCTACCGCAATTCATCGAATTAGGATTTAAGGATATATTTCAATTGAGTTTAATTGCTTTTTTAATGCAATTTCCACATTTAATCCATTAATGATTGCAATAATATCAAGCAATAATATTAAAATATTTGATTGTGATATTAATGACTTAATCTTTGAATCAAAATATTATAATGTTACCATAAATTAAGCAAAAATTATGCAAGATTGAAAATTAAAAATTGTGAAAGATTTTTGCTTGATATTATTGCAATCATTAATTACTATTTTCCTTTTTTCGATCATTCACAAAATACTATAAAATCTCTTATGCTTCACCACAATCTCTCATTTTTTTGTAGTAGTGTTATGTTTTTCGTTATTTACTCACTACCTGTGTGTAATAATCACACCTATTTTATTGTTATTTACGATTGATTGCTTTCAATCGGACAAATTCTTTCTAATCTATTAAATATTTTGTATTTTTTGTTTGCCAGGTCAATATGATGTCAAACTATGAACCTGAGAAATCTACAAGAAGTTGTTCATTGATTAATGGTTTCAAGGTGATCGAATCATGTAGTCTGCTTCAAGATTTATGTGATATTGTATCTGATTTGGAAAAACAAAATTATTTTCATTTTTTGTGTTATTATTTTGTTAATTATTTAAATGTGTATACTTATTTTCAAAATATTAGTTTCATTATGATCACTACACACAAGATTTATAAAATAGACAAACGATAGTTTATTATATAACTCAATAATTCGTTCATTTTTTTAAATTATTGTTTGGTGAGTTATGTATGATGAACAGTTTATCAGCATTAGGATTATATTTAGAATTAGCATTATAGTTAGGATTATTAGGGGTATGATAAACATTAGTATTAGTATTAGCATTAGTTTTAGCATTACCATTACAATTTAGCATTAGTGTATTAGTATTAGTATTAATATTAGTATTAATATTAGTATTAGAATTAGTATTATGATTAGTATTAGTATTGATATTAGTATTAATTATTTTCATTTTTAAGTTATTGTTAGG